AGTGTACTGCGGATCCGGACACATTTTTCTCAGTCCTCGACTAACTGTCCACTGTTTTGTACTTTATACACCTTTTTATTCTTTCTTTCATTTCATTCGCACTCCAATCATACATTCACTTTGATCGTAAACTTGATTCGTTTATGGCCACAAAGCATAATGATGTGAAGTTTAAAACCGTTTATAACTGGAGTTAACGCCAAGCAACTGCTATATAAATCTCAACCTGGAGGTGACGGAAGGAAAAAGGCCTTGATTGACGCGGGGGTCAACAAGATGATCACCTGGTTGGAACAAGACCCTACAATCATGTTTGAATTGTTGAGGATCCGAATTAAGATGGATTTTGAGGTGTCACGTGCGACAGTTGGTGCTTATTTAGATTGTTAGCGGATTGCTATCACCAAGCTTTATCTGGTTCCATCTGAAGTAAATAAGCCGGAGAAGATGATCCGCCAGCTATACGCTCTTCATATATTTCAAGTGTTGTTTGTCGGACTGATGAACCAAACTTCGACCTGTTTTGTACCAGGACACTGGCTTAGTCTGCCACAGATACATGATCATGTTTGCCGGTATGCAACAGTCACCGGAGAAATTCGCATCTAACTGGTGCCGTGACTACATTGGGAATGATATCGTGCAAGACCAAACGTGACCCACATCGATTAGAGAACTGCAAGAAGTGCATGCGATCAGTGCTTGATAAGCTCCAGCAAGCAGTACCCATTAAGCAAATAACTTGCGTGAGTGACAATGCTCCTTGTCACAGCAGACTGGTGGAGGTATTCACTGAGATTAAATATCGTGAGGCAAAGCTACTGAGGATGCCACCATACTCGCCAATGCTCAGTTCTTTTGAGCATCTGTGGAGCTTGAATAATAGCATAGTCAAGCGTTATTTGAGTGATAAATATCCTAGTCTCCTTCAGAGGATCATGAAGGGGTAGTAAATCGAAACGAATAGCCAGTGCATTTCTTGGAGCAGTCAGTTGAGAAAGCTACATCGTCGATCTTCGA